GAAAATCAATGGGAAAATGTATGCCACTTAAGTAGTCATTTTTACCAAGTACAGTTTCTTCAGGAGTTTGAAAAGCAATGTATTCAAAAGCTGACATCCTGCCGAGTCCGAAATATTATAGGATTATACCGCAGGATTATCAGTATTACAACCGCGCCTAAGTAATCCTTCCTAATCGAAAACGCATTTTAGAATTTCAGCCAACATTTCATGAGATCGGTCACCCGCTGCACGTTCGGGAAGACCATTTCTAGAGCCTTTTTCGATGTATGCGGAGGTGCACCCATTTGAAGATGAAATCAGCGCCAATGTTCCAGATTCCCGCTCGGCAACGGAAAAAGACGACGGGCGCATGGGACTGTAGTTGTTACGAAAACGTTCAGTTGATAAAAGTGACATCACAAACGTTCGTACGTGGTACAATGACTAGTTGGTCTTCCGCACTCGATTTGTTGATTGCTGTGGCTTCCCCGCCAAAGCTGGTGATTGGAATTATAATAACCTGGAAAATTAACACACTACTTTGTCACTGGACGTCGTGCTCGTCCGCTGGTGTGAGTGACTAAGTCAGTTGTTTGGGCGAGGTCTTAAGTATGTGGAGGGAACCGATTTTTACGTTTTTTAGAGAGAAACGGACTGAAAACCAATTATTCAGGCAGCCCGCGGTTCAAGCAATTGCCGTCTCTCACGAGGACTTCTCCCATACCCAACTTTAAGCGCAGCTCGGTATGCAGGGAATACATTCGTCACCATCGAACGCAATCACCTGTTGACACTGTCGGTTCGGCCATCATTAGCAACGCTGTCCACCGTGTGCCCCACAGCAAGGTAGGCGCAGGGACGATGACTTGCACGTGAACTAGCCTATAGTGATGGCAGACTTGCGATGTACCTACTGCACTCCCTCTCTCTCCTCTTTCACCCACATGGGCCCCCGCTGTCGAGACTGAGTCCAAAAGACCAGGGGTGGGATCGGACGCAAGTGACTGGCGCGGTGTGGGCCTGCGCCTATGCGTGCCAGTCAGTTTTATCGCTGCGCAGCCCTAAAACGCCTGTTGTGTCCTGATCTCGCCCCTCGTATTTGTCCAGCGCAACTCTGGCGTGACCCGTTGTAGGCTGTGCCCCACAGCATGGTGGGCGCAGGACGGTGTCTTGCGCGTGAATAAGCTTATAGTGCTAGCAGACGGGAGGAGGTTTGACATTCAAAAACAATTGTGCCCAATTTTCCTGGACGTACAATTTACGATGGAGGAGAAGGAAGAGAGCAACCAGATGACCCTCCTCTGTGTCTCGTCTGCTTCAAAGATTCTGATGGCCTAGAAGCCGGTGTTCAGGAAGGCGACACGTACGACAAAAAATTTTGCCTCCAAAGCAACCGCCAAGTCAGTCACAAACGCATTTGCGTAGGAACGCTCTACTGAGGTGTTTAGATGCACTACATTGTCAGGAGACAAGGTTGTCAAACTAATAATACTTCTGATGAGTGAACAGCGTGGATGACTACTCGCGCATCTTCGGGAATCAGTGCATACAACGACGAGAAGTCAAACCGCATCGGACCTTAATATGGGGTACATCAGGAACGTCTCTGCGTCCGTCAGCTGCCTTCTGGCAGACCGGAAGTAAACTTTTGTCGTCAAGTGATATGGCTACGGCAGGAGACCTCTAGAGTCTCTCATCAAACCTGGCGCGACTGCAGGCTAAACGACGACGTAGTAGGAACTGGAAACTCTATCCGGGCGCGAGTGACCGAACAGGCATCGGCCGTTCGGGGGGGGGGAGTGCTGCCAGCAGCTCACTCGACGGAATTCGTCAGTATTTTAAAGCTCTACTAGGCTGTAAGTCCTCATGAGGAGTGAAAACCGCCCGAGTCAAGAGTCCCTTGCATCATGATTCTTCAACCAGCAGTCCACCAACAAATGTAACAACGTCTCCCCTCCCTATCCAGTGCTAAGACTTTGACTGGGTTGACTGAACAGGCATGCAGAGATCACGTAAGTGAAAACGATAAGACATGAGGATAGGTTCCCCGAAATGCAGGTAGTCTTGGGTTAAATTCAGGGTAGGATATTTATTCCTGTAGCCTAACCGTACTCTAAACTTGCAGCTCAAACCTTGATCCTAACCCTACTCTCCCTGGAATTGAGCTCTAAAGCATTTGTATTATGGGAGAGGGGTTCCTGCCCCGTATTCCGCGTGAACACTACTTCCAGCGACAATAATAGCGGGCCCATATTCCGAGTAACTATTATGCCCATCATCAATAATGATGAAATCGCTAACATCCGCAACTTGAATGCGGACGGCCAAACTATCGTTTTAAGTAGGAAAATCTGCGATAAACTCAGAAAGTGGTACGGATGGAAGCGGATATGCGAATCCCAGGTTCTCGTTGTAAGAAGATGAACAAACGATCTCTGGAATAGGTGTATTAGTCTGAGCACGCGGATAGTAGCGCGGGCCAGCAATAAGACAGGGCGAGAACTGTTGGAGGCCTGGGTGTCTGACACCAACTCCATCAACAGACACGTTGACCTACCTCCCTGCTATCACGCGCTCCGTTTCCGCGGCCAAAAGGCAAGACCCAATTTCCAGCCAAGGGCGCACGCAGCCACGCCGCCGTGAGACGGCGTGGGACTCAGCTTATCACGAATACCACCCTCTGCACTCATATCTCCCCCCCCCTTCATGGCTTGACTACAAAAACTGCTCATTTGATGCCGCATTCTCACAGCCTCTGACGATGGCCTCCTGTACGAGACCGAAAGCTCAGACTAATACACCTACTATTCCACAGATCGTTTGTCCATCTTCTTTACAACAGAAAGTGGTACTCATGCAGGGAGCGTGGTTGCGTAGCATCTGCATCCTACAATAGCCGCACTCTCTGTACGTCCGTTACTTCTGGTGCTGGGTTCGAGAATGGAATCTGGACACCAGCCGAGTAGCGTTCACGCTCCAAGGATCGAGCTCCCTCTTCTCAACTGCTTCCTGAAGCTTTAACTTTCGCTTTTATCGACTCACTCGCCATTTTCTCGACTGAGGATGCAACGGACACGCCTCGGTTTGATCTCTAGATAACTTCGGTAGATGATTCTGCCTATCATGAGTTGTGTTAAACGCTATAATTACATGCTGCCACGATTAATATTTCATGTAGAGGACGGCCAACAATAATATCATCTCTTGATAAATATTTCGGGCTTCGTTTTCTAATAGAAATGTCAACGAACCCATGAAAAGCAGTTTGGACTGTTACTTTGTTCGTTCTTGGGTCTTCAGCGCTGCTCCGCCGTCGAATTCAGTGGTGCAGAATATGGGTTTGGTGCTGTTTAAGAAATTTTAACTCATTTTAAGTAACTCCAGTAATCAGAGAAGCCAGGATGTACTTTCATACCTCGTCTACAGTTAAGCCAAACTGAATGGACAACGGCGTCGTAAAGTTGCGTAGCAAACTCCTTCTCCGTGTAAACCGAGATCACAGTTATAGGATTTCGAGATAACCAGCTGCAGTCGATATGGAGAGAGGCTAGTTTCTTTTTAGTCCAGCTACTTGTTGCGTTCACCATTCATTGCCATGGCGATGCCATCCGCGGCAGTGTCGGCAGCATGGTGAGGAACTGGCAAATCCCTTTGGACCTCACCCTGACTCCGTATCAGCCATGAAGGTTGGTATCAAGATCGCAAGCCATTTGCATGAAGTTCGGCTCAGAGCTACCCCCCGCAAACTGCATTTGTCTTTTTTTCAATAAGCTGGAAAAGACTTATTGGGGGAGTATTTCCTTTAGTAAAAACGTGCGTACAAAACATCAGAGGAAAATCTCAGGAAAGACTTCGGAGCGGCTTGAGCAAACCCAGGGCCCTCAGATACTGGTGACGTCTTCGTCGTCCGAGGTATGACAGGGAGTACTTTCGGTACTCCAGTCGGCACTTGTTCGGCACCAACCACGGCTAAAATGCAGCGCGGGGGTGGGAGTCAGCTGTGTGGCGGCCGTCGTAGCAGTTTCTCCCTCGTGAGGATGGTCAATGGCAGGCCTTTGGGGGAGTAAATGCTTCAGCAGCGGATGAAGCTGGGGCCGATCTGGATCTGCAAGATTCAGAAATCGAAAATTGTAAATACAAATCTCGCCACGACTTAAGCTTTTGAAACATCTAGGAAATATACTCAAAAAACCTGATAATTTAGTGAATTTTTGGCTGTTTCTGAGTTGACAAATTTATCGCCTGCATTCTGACGTATCCAGATCATGCCTAGGAAGAATAGCGTTTGCACATATACAGTCGTAAAGGACAAATAAGAATGGATGTCAGTCCTCAGTTCCTTCCTCTGGCAAGTGAGCCCGTGCAAAGTTTTACTTCGTACCTGTGACCCCATACGAACACACCAAGATCAGTCATTTTCTGCCGAACAAATGTCGTCATGTCAATAAAGAGAAGCCCGCCATCTTTACAGCGTACCACCCTTTGTATCCAACAGGAAGAGCAGTGCGGTGCAGTTCCAACTCAAGCCGCAAAGATGGTAGATGCACGTACAAATTACTGTACCATTCTTTGAAATCGGACGAATCTCAACCATTTTCTCAGTGGCATAGATGCTAATTCATTTTTTGTGCAGAGACTAAAATCGAAAGGAAGGTAGTATGCAAGTGCCAAAACGTCAGGTAACGCCTTAGGGATGACCCCAGGAATGTCCCTGTAAATTCGAAAACGATCAGTGCAGTTGTGGACGACATTTTAAGTACCTCCGGGCGTTATCTAGTACACCACCACCACCATCACCATCACCATCACCACCACCTAAATTTGTTCTCTAAATCCAGTCAAATTTGTAATTCTTTTGAGGTGAACGGTTGCCGTTATCAGACCTGAATCGGGAGAATCCAGGGGTGTAGAATCCGAAGGACTCCCAACACAAAGCCTCTATTCTCCATTTCTTAAAGGTCACTGTAGGAAGCGTCCGCTAGGATATTCTCGAAAAATTAGCATAACAACATTGTGCTGGGTCGTTTTGAAAAGTAGATCCATCACTGAACAAGATATGATCCCTCTTCGACTAGATCAGTAAATTTGTAGTTCATAGGAATATGGACTCCCGTATTACAGGTGGCATTGCACTAAACTCCGGGGGAGGGAGGGGGACGAGGCGTTTAGGCTCGTGTTAGGTTTAAAGTTGGGACACGGAAATAAGTGTCCCCCTGGAATTTAGTGCGCGGCCACCTGCAATAGGGGTAGACCTATATTCCCCTGTGCGACCCATACGCTGCGCACACACTACTTCTGGAATGGGATCATCGCCTTCACATAAGTCCTATAGTAGTTGAATATAACAAAGTTTTCAATAGAAGCGAAGAGACGAGTACCAGGAAGTAGTCTTTAAGAAGGAGCCACGATCGCTGGGACAAGAGCTTTATTAGCCTGATGTTTCGGATTCCTGCTCGAATTCATCATCAGAGACAACAGCAGATACGGTTGATTCACGCACAAGGGGCTGCAGTATTTACAGGATGCAGTCGCCATGCTACCGCATACCTATGATCATTCACGGCTCCCCCCTTCACACAGACCGGAGGCAACCATCAGGCGTCTGATAATGAAACCGAAAGACCCGCTGCCACGGCTAGAAACGTCTGGAGTCGTTTATCGAATCTGGTGCAGTTGCGGACAAAGCAACTGCGTCGGAGAAACAAGAAGACAGCTCCGAACGAGAATGGCCGAACGCGCTGCAGCGGTGCGGCGAAATGACGCCAGCTCTCAAGTTGCGGCTCATTCGACGAGATCCGGCCACACATTCAAATTCGACGAGGTCGAAATTCTCGCATGAGGTGACAATCGCGTGAGCGGGGAGCTACTTGAATCATGGTTTACTGGCCCCCATTCCATTAGCAAGTGCAATGAACTTCCCCTTCCATACTCGGTGCTGAGGCTTCGCCTAGGCGGAGTAATTAGCCACGCGGGGAACGCACATGTGAACACTTGTCCCGACACCAGGGTCGGTGCGTCAGATGGTCGAGCAATCATCACACCAACATCCAACGCACGTGATGACATTGCATCAATTAACGGCGCGAATGTCGGCCATCAAACAATTAACACACCAAGTGCAACGATCTCGGATGAAGGTGGGAGCCGTGAATGCGGTAGAATGGCGACTGCATCCTATAAATACTGCAGCCCCTTGTGCATGAGTCACCCGTATTTGCTGTTGTCTCTGATGATGGATTCGAGCAGGAATCCGAAACGTCAGGCTAATAAAGCTCTTGTCCCAGCGATCGTGTCTCCTTCTTCAACAAAGTTTTCCTCCGTAAAGATTCAGAACCAGATGGATGCGGGTGTAAAGAATTGTTTCAGGCCTATTCTGCCTTCATCCAGTCAATCCTAACCCTGGCCATCTGGGGCTAAAAACGCAAACGTGCCTTCGCACACAGCGCAGATGGTCCACAGACGGCGTCTGGCAGGTGGATCATAGGCACTTCAACGAAACGAAATTCATCGACGCCTCGCCACCTGTCATGCTCTGTCGCTGCAGATCTAATATTTATTCAAGCAGGGGTGGACGCACACCGGTCTGCTGGCCTCCCCCAGCAAACTAGCTCCGTACGAGGGACATCGGTCAAGAACAGACAGCCAACTGCCAAGCCGAACTCGGTCAAGCTATGATAGCAAAGGGGGGGGGGGACAGAGGTCAGAAAATGAGGGTAAATTTATGTAAAACTTTGAAGATTGACTGAAACAGTTCTGTACCAAAGACTAGGGCAATGGAATGGCCATGTTCGAATTACTGGTAGTCATCCGCCAGTGTCAACCCAACCCCACTTTGCACACTCCAGGTCCAGGCTGTTTCTGGCATCCACTCTTAAATATGCTGCCTTTCAGTCTCACCCAGCTTCTAGATCATGTTGTGTTGGCATGCCAACCTCACCGATCGGAAACAATCCTAGTAAGCGAAATTTGTGCTCATCTATACTGAGGAGTTGTTACCAACTACTGGCGGGTGGCTGCGTGAATAAAGTTAGATGGGCGCGTCGACGAAGTGGAACCGTGACCAGATAACCTTAGTGGTGGGTGGACTTTAAATCTTGAGAGGAAAGGTGACCAATTAAGGAGTCACAAGTCGCCTCAACTGCGCTCAGGGACGGCGAACACTGTTCGCGGAGCGTCCGCCGGATCGGCTCATCTCCTAAGGTCATTATTAACAATCATTCTATTCAAAATCTGCCAAAGTGCCTATGAATTACGTGAGCCTGGTAGTCATCTGGTGGATTCTAGGTGAATTACTTAGGACATCCCGCTTGGGCAGTCAACTTACTGTATCAGATTTGGTGGATTCCAGACGTTGCAGTAGGTTGGGCGGGTAAACTTGACCCAAATGTGATTAAGCTCGAGTCGTCCGGCGGGGCCTCGTAGCTCAAGTGGTTAGAGCGTTGGCTGTACTAAAGCCTTCTCCTTACTGCGTGGGTTCGAATCCCACCGAGGCGCCGAGTTTTTCACAGTTGGGTCAATATGAATTATTCAAAATCTGCCAAAATACCTATGAACATTCTAGAAGTGGCGATCCATTAGAACAAACATTTCTTTTCCGGTCATGGTCAGCAGAGTAACAAATCGGTGGCTCACTGATAGAGCGATTGAAAACGCCTCATTACTAAAGAGTGCTGGTTTGACCTCTTCGTTATTCAGGCCTATGGTTACTATACGGCTGACAGACAACAACAAGCAAACCAAAAGTAGGAGTTCCAGTCTCCCTTTTATGTTGCAGCACTCTTTCTGCACTACGTATTATTTGAGCTGATGTCAAGTGGATAACTTCAGTTATCATGGGCCTTCTGACCCGGCAGGTAGACATCTGCAGCTCACTACGTTCGTCTTTGGCATGCCCACTACAAATATGCCACTGTTCTCTGCAGTTCAGCTGAATGGAGGCAACCGATGAACCAAAAGGACAGTGAAAGTCGGTTTGCAGGGATGCAAGAGCCCGTTCGTGGAAAAGGTTTTGTGCATCTAGTCGGAATTATGACATTGTTTTTGTCACATTTTAATATTAAAATGTGCGCCCTAGAAGGTGATAGGCCTTAGAAGAAGAAGAAGAAGAAGAAGAAGAAGAAGAAGAAGAAGAAGAAGAAGAACTAACCATGCGTTTTTACGTTGTGGTCGTAAAGCCACTTCAGAAAATTCAGCTGTCATTTAAATTATAAAAACAGCTCAAATTTTTCCAGAATAACTGCTACCAAGGCACTTAGATGCCATCAGAGCGAGACGACTTTGGCTCGAATAATTCCTCGCACCTGATGAGAAACGATAATAAGAGCAAATGAGACAATAGCAAAGACAATATTACCATTTGTAAGATATTAAATACAAAATACAAACTGGGAATTTATTTTTTAAATCGCATTCTTCCACCACAATGAGCTTACCTGTCCTGTGTAGGTCCCGTGGGAAGTATTTGCGAAGAACAGCATCCTCAAGTCGCGTGATAAAGCTGATGGTTTCTTCGATTATTGTTACCTAAAAAATCAATAAAGGTTCAGGGAGAAAGTCGCTACTCTGTTGTGCCAGATTTTTTTGCTTTTCGGTTCACCGATAAACCTCCCCAAGGCTCTAGATCAGAGTTTTGTCACAGCTAACTTCTTATCCTACATCTAACCGTCTTTATTAGTCCTTTCAAAATCGGGAAAAAATGGAGTCTACATGTGGTGTAAAATACAAGATGATCCAAAAGTGCCTTCAAGACGGTTTATAGTGGATCATGGTGTACCGTGACTGACAATGGACTTCACATAAGGGTTGTGTCATCTTGACCAGGTTGTCGGATCATTACTTAAGCGTCTCCCCTACCTCTTCAAAAAAGAAAAAAAGAGCTACTGGGTTTCAGAGAATTGAGGCTATAAATCTGCTCACCTCGTCGAGGCAAGACCGGTCCTGAAGACCGGGGACGATTTCTTTCAGCCTACGGACTTCCGTAATTCGATCCTTCGCAGTTATATCCAAAGAGGTAGACTTTTGCTGTCGCCGACGAACTTGTCTTCGCGTTTTTCGACGATCACAGTTCTTCATCTGCCGACTGGCCGTCCGAGGTTGACCGTCAGGGTGCATTTGGGGCAACTACCGTGTGATGGAACAAAGCGCGTTGTGGGGACAGGCATACTTGATACCGCAGTGGACAGTGGCCAATCCACGTGGTAAGGTGCTGATTGGGTCACCTGTCAACCAATGAGATGGAAACGGTGACATGCGCAGGAGGTCCGGAATGGTGATCGCGCCCCTGACTGCTCACTTCTGCCGCACTCAGGCACTCGGTCAGATAGCAAACGAGGAGATGATTTTCGCGAAAATTCCTTTATCTATTTCTACCAATGAAAATGAAACCTAGGCTCTTTGGATCAAACTTCGGCTTAGTACAAAATACAGGCTGCACCTATTGTAAAGAGCAGTTTATAATACGTTACACCAGCGCTGCATAAAGGCGGTTCTCTAGAATATCTCAATTAACTTTGACAAACAATGTGAATACACAAAAATATAACCGACCATAGAAAGAAACTGTAAATTATGCTCCGTACGCATTTTAGCAATTCCCAGGCATTAATTTGAAGGAAGTTACTCCATTCCCTCAGTGAGGGCTTTATTCACCTCACGACTCCGACTCATTTTCAGGTCACTGCTCAATCTAAACAACCCGGACATCCCTACAAGTTCGACAAAGCAGTAATCTCCGCAGGGGGCGACAATCGCTTGAATAGTACGCCGTTTCAGTCACTGTCAACCGGTCAGTAATCGATCAGCAAACGCAAGGGCCTTTCAATTGCCTATACAGCTGTAAGACTGGCCTGCGCAGGGAGGTGTGTGTGGTTGAACACGGCTCCGTTAGACGGCACTGACGGAGAAAAGTACCGAGCCATTAGTGCGTCAACCACCAACTTCCCTGAGAGATTTTATAAAATCGGTGCCTAAAATGCGAAATTCAAATCAATAAGTTTCCGGCCTGCTTGGCATACTGTATCTCGGGGAGTCTCTTATCGCGTTCTCTGTTTCACTCCCCGATGCTAGATCCCAGAATAAATTCGAACCATCAGACGAAGAGGGTTTGCTACTCCGATGTCAGAGTACAATTTTTCCTAGACTGATTCCTCCGCTCATGGAGTAAATCCTCTGCTTACCGTCCCGTATGCCTGACAGCATTTATGCACTTGATATAACCATTGTTATAACCTAAAATGCATGTTATTTGTCAGCCGTTCTCCACTCGATTTCATTAAACTGCATATATCTGCAACTGACACGCAAATATCCGAGGTTATAGAAACGGGGCCTTTGTAATGGGGGATTTGGGTTTTTTCATTCAGGAGGCAAAACGGCATTTGGAGTACTACCTCATTAATGCTTGGCTAAATGCAGTGGTCAAGGCAAGATATAAAAAAACATCTCGGCAAACAAGGAGGCTGTAGGGGAACTTTTAATCTGACTAGCCGTCTGACAAAATGTTCCGGGACTCAGGAAAATTTGACCGAAAGACATAAATATGCTTTCAGGAGGAAGAAGTTCTTACCTGAAAATATAATGAAAGTTAAACTGGAGTAGAGTTTACTACCAGGATTCTGACTTACCGGTAGGGCGTCTTTAGGAGTCTTGTGTAATAAAGCCAGGAAAATCGTATCTGAACTAACGCGCGTTCATTCCGCCGATTCCCGATGCTTTTATAGATTATATTGATTAGACGGACCTATGTCGATTTTGATCGGACTTGCACTTTTTTAGTGAATGTTGCCACAGCTAAGTGTCTGAAAGTTTATCAATGCTGCTCACAAAGAGTGCAGTCTGGGTTATACATACACTAATGTCTTATGGGCACCTGTATGCATATTCCTAGCCCGTGAATCTGTATATATAAATATATACCGGGTGACGGGTCAGTGTCACCGACTTGAAAATTTACGAGTACAACTCGATTTTCCGAAAAGCCTTCTATTTTTCATATAAATATATGTATACATATATGAGAGGATATCGACAAGGACAAGGGAGAACGGAATGGTCATTTCTGGCTTATTAGCCGTTATCAGCCAGCCATACCCAACCCCAAGTGTGGATCACTTGAGATTCGAACCCGAGATCTTTGGTCATGGAGTTTGACGCTCTACCATTGAGCCACGGGCCCGTCGTCCTGTCGGTTGTGATCGGGAATATCACTTATGACAGTGGGCGCTCGCCGATCAGGTTATGGAACATGCTCGTTCCGTTGTGCCTTTGGGCTTAAACTAGAACCCTCTCAGACAGCCACACAGCGACTAGTAGTGTAGGTGGTATAGACAGTGTATATATATATATGCATGTTGGAGTCAAATATGTTCTTTGGGAAAAGGAAGTTTATTATAAATTTTCGACTAAGGTTCACCAGGTCGTCGTCAGACGCGAACGGAGAGCAAATGTGCCAACACAGTTAACATCTTAAGTGCATTTAAAAAATCGATAATCATTTGGCGTTAATATTAGTAAGCAGCCGCTGTGTGTGTCAGTCCACTCTGATTGGCCTTCGCTTCTTGCATTTACTCTTGAGATTTATGAACGCGGTATCCAGCTCGATGTAACAGTTAATTCATGATTCGTCTGAGTGTATGGCCTCGAGGAACTCTCAGCCTCTCATGAAAGGGCACATGGAAAATGCGAGTTTTCTCCCAAGCGAATGTGTGCCCTGTGTCCAAGATGTGCATGGCTACTTGAGACAGGTGGTCTCCCCTCTTAACTGCCAGCTGATATTCGTGAATGCGTGTAGAGGCGCATTTTACGGTCTGGCCGCAGTAGACGGTATCACATGCATCGCAGGGGATCTTGTAAACGACCTCTTTCTTGTCCAGGTAGTTAACCATATCCTTAGGGTGCACGAGCTGAGTGCGCAAAGTAGTCGTCGGTCGGTGCGCCACCTGAATTTGGTGCTTCCTTAAGTGTCTTTTAACGAGTTCAGACACATCTTTACTGTAAGGAAGTGTTCGCCAAGTGTTTGGTTCGGAGGTCTGACTTGGATTACCTGGCTCCTTTCTCTTGGACTCTTTCTGTCTCATTCATCGGCGTACAAAATGTCCAGGGTACCCATTCCGCGAAAACAATTCGCACAAGAAATTTAGTTCATCTCGATAGCCTTCTTCATTCGAACAATGCGTTTTTGTACAATTAATCAGAGCGTTGAAAGCACCCCGTTTGTAAGAGATTGTCTGATTGCTCTCGTAAGGTAGAATGATTTCCGCATAGGTCTCCTTTCGGTAAACCGATGTACATACTGTTCTGTCGGTCTTTCTCTGTACGAGTCCATCCAGAAGCGGGAGTTTACTATTAACCTTCTTTTCAAGTGTGAATCTAATCGTCGGAATAGTTGTGTTTAGAGTATTGTGGATCGCGTCCAATTGGTCTTTTTTTAATGACAACATATGTGTCATCTGTATGTGGTACCACAATTTATGGTTAACTACCGAGACTTCCGTAGCCTTTAGTTTCTGCATTGTGATTTTTTCAAGGAAACCACAAATGTGGGAGCTCCTTTCAGTTGTTGTTATCACTTTTGGTTGAATGAGAAGTTAGTTTTCAAGCATAGGTCTATGAGATCAAGCACGGCAGGTGCACTTACAACAACGGAGAGGGGACGCTTTCCAAAAGGCTGAAATACAGTCTTCCCGAGTTAAAGTATTTGCACTATCATGCAGACAGCAAACCTCACGGAAGACGAACGGTTTACCATCTGAAACAGCACTGTACAAGCCTTAAAAGAACGGAGTCATTTTTCAGTACTATCACGTTAAGAAAGGAATGCGTTAACGAGTCTACGAACTGGCAAAAATATCGTTCTCCCCGCAGACAAAGAAGGCTCATTCAAAGTTTCGAACAAAGCAGAAGTCCAACGTTCCTAACCACTGAGCCGCTGGCTCGTTGTCGTGTTGCTTGTGATCCGGTATGCTATGATAGAGAACACTCACTGATCGCGCTACGGGACCCACTCGCCTTGTTCTGCCTTGGGGCTCGATCTTGAGCCCCCCAAGCGGCCGCAGAGCGACTAGTAATACAGGCAGAATACCCGCCTACAAAGAAAAGGGAGTCTGGTGTGGTCATTTCTAGCTTATTAGCTACCCTTACCCTAAATCCGGTTTGTTGAAATTAGTACCGACAAAGATAAGAGAACCCCGAAAAAAATTGGACGTGCATGTCCCACAACCAGATCGGTGAGCGCAATTTCAAGATATGTGTTTGTATGTATTGGAAAGTAGGCATCTGTGCGGCTGCCGGTTGGACTCGAGAGAGAGGGCCCATAAGGCACGACGGGATAAAGGAGTTCCGTGAAAACTCCAGGTGAGTATCCCTCTATCATTGTATATTTCCGATCGCAACCGACAGGATAACGAGCCCCTGGCTCAGCGGTTAGAGGCGTTGGACTCCAATTAACAGGTCGCAGACTAAGCCCTAGGTGTTCCACACTTTGGGGTTGGGTATAACTGGCTGGCGACGGCTAATAAACCAGAAAGGGACATTCCAGTATCCCTTGTCTTTGTCGGTAATAACATTCTGCAAAACATAGATTGAAGTATGATATTTTCCCTGGGAAAAGAGACTTATTGTGTAAATTTTCGACGCCACTTCCCCTGGTGTTGTCAGACGCAGAGCAGAACAAATATGCCAAAAGTAGTTGACACTGTAAGTGCCCTTTAAACATCGATATTTGTTTGACGTTCACGCCAGTCAGCGATCGTTGTGCACTTTATCCTCTTCCGATTGGCTCTCGTCCCTTCTTTTTCTGCCTGAGACTTTTGTACGTGGCGTCTAACTCGATATGCTGGTTAATGCACTATTCGTCTGAGTCCGTGGCCTCGAGGAACTCTCGGCCTTTTTTGAAAGGCCAACACTGACATTGAGAGTTTTGTCCCAAGCGAATATGTGTTCGGTGTTCAGGGTATGCGTGGCCACTTGGGATAAGTGGTTCCACCTCTTCGCTGCTAACGAGTGTTCATGAATGCGTGTAGAGGCGGACTTTCCAGTTTGACCACAATAAACTGCATTGCACGCAGTACATGGGATCTTGTAGGCGACTTCCTTCTTATCCAAGCAGCCCACCC